ATTATTACTGTTGTTTTTGTTGTTGTTATTATTATCCTCATCATTATCATCATCATTATTATTATAATGTACATATTATATAAACGTTTTCAGATTTTGTGGACAATTCGGGTATCCGTGTGACCCTGACCAAGGAGCTGCGGCCTAACGACGCCGGGATCCTGGAGATGGGTGTGAACGTAGACACCAATCAGGCCGTGCCCGCACTCACTAAAGAGATGCTCAGTGTGGGGTACTGCAGCGCCGACTGTATGGCTGAGGTCAGTCTGTGAGACACAATTGTTTTTGCTTTCGTTTTTGCTTTTGTTTTTGTTTGTTTTTTGTCTTTTGTTTTCCTTGAAAAAAAATTTCTGGTTGGGTATAAGTTTTCTTGGTTATTTTTCCAATTCTAAAAAGAGGACTTGGGAGGGGTGTAAAGGTATAGGAGGTTAATGGGGAAATTGAGTTAGGAGGGAGAGGCGGTGTGTTTGTGGGGTTTTAGGGTGGGGAGAGGTGATGTTTGTGGGGTTTTAGGGTGGGGGAGGGAAGGGAGAGGTGATGTTTGTGTGGTTTTAGGGTAGGGGAGAGGGGGGGGGAGGAGGAAGGAAGGAAGGGTAGCCAGAGATGTGATTTTTGAGGAATATGTTTTATTTAGCTGAAAGTATTTCATTTAAGAAAGAAAAAGAAGAAGAAGAAGAGGAGATCAGTGTTTTTGAAGAGGTTAGAATGAAGAAAAGTTGTTTGTGTATGTGCATGTGTGTGATGTGTGAGTGTGTGTGTCTTAAAGGCCAAGGTGGGGGTTTAAACCTGAGCTATGAAGAATGAATAAAGTAGTTACGGGTTGTGGAGGAAAAAAAAGAAAAGAAGATGAAGAGGAAAGAGAGAAAAAGTGACAGGAGGGAGGGAAGGGTGATGGAGGGGCGATGAAGAATGAAAAGATTAGAAGTAGAAGTAGAAGCCAAAGGTAGTGGGAAAAGAAGATATAAAAGAGAAGGAGAAGAGAAGGTCAGTTTTACTGGCTAGAAAAAGGTTAGTATGTTGGGAGGTTGTGTTGTGGATGTTGGG